TGGCCAGGCCGGGGGGTGGGGTGTCCCCGAGGAGGGACCCGCCGGGCACGGGGGATGTCGCGCCCCACGCCTTTCCCCGGGGAAATGGGTGAAAAAAGAGCCCCGGCGGTCATTTGAGTTACGCTTTGCTGTAGCTGCCGTCTGCCCCGGGTCTGTCCCACACTGTTTTGGAGGAAAAAAAAAACCCTCATTCATTTCACCTGAATGTCTCTGGGCTTAATGTTCTGGTAGTTTTAAGTGGTGAGCTGTGGATGGAAAGCTCTGCGTCGCGATTTGGGTGCAGGGGCGGCTGCTGCGAAGGGGAGCAGAGGGTGGGGGGTGCTGCAGGGCTGCCAGCCCTCCCGGTGTCCCCAGCCACGGGGACCAGCCCGGTGTGCGGTTCCCCGCAGCAGCCCTCCTGCTTCGGCCTCCTCCTTCACCCTCCCAGCTCTTGGGGCAAGTTTAATGCGTCTTTCTGAGCTAACGGCAAACCTGGGGTGGTTTTAGCCTTTCAGGGCTGCTTTAGGCTTAGTTTTAAGTGTTTTGAAGTCTTTGGGCCGCTTTTAACAGCACAGTGAATTTCTTTCCTTTAAAAAAAAAACAAACCCACACCACATACCAGAGAAGCTAAAAATAGGAGATAATAGTTTTTATCTAACCACAACTTTGTGCATTGCATAGAAAAGACTCCCAACAGGACGTGAGGATGAAGCGGTTCATGGCCACGTTAAACAGGAATAAAAACAAGGATCCCCCACCCGCCAAGCTGCTGGATCTCGCAGGACAGCTTTGCCAGGACCTCCAGAGCTCGTCTCCTAGTCTGGAGAAGCTGGTTGAGGCCATGATGGGGTGCAAACACAAGATGTATTTTCTCACTAACATCCACGTTGTCCGAGCTTGTGTGTCTGTTCATATCCATAACGGGCAGTATGACACAGCCTGCAGACTCCTGGAGGTAGGGATGTATTCTTTGTTTCTTCAGTATTAGGAAAAACAGTAGAGCTGTTGATGCAGAGGAACCCAAACTGCGGCACATGGAGCATTTCCAGCTGCCGTACGGCAGTGGAAGGTGGTATGCGTGCATTGGTTGACCCTGAAACACAGGATAAAGCCTTCGCTACAGGCAGTCACTATTAGTCAGCCAAGGGGAAGAGAGGTAATTGGGTGATTATGGGGCTGGTTGTAGTTTGTGAAAGCAGGATTTTTGTTCTATAGTGTGGTGGTTCTTGGAGTTTTTCACAAACTTAGGGCTCAGGACGTAAAAGCCTTGGGGAGGCCAGGTTTAGAGGGCTTGCCGGGATGGGATGATATGAGGAAGGCTGGATGGCACCACTCAAGGTGGGTGAATTTTGGCCTCTAGATCTGGTAGCGTAGCCCTTTTCACCAGGAGAAAAGAAGGAATTAGTCAGGCAACTCCCTGTGTACATTAGGAATGTACAGCGAGCCATATACTTGGATAATGCTACCAGCTTTGTCACACCAGTAGGAATCTCTGAGTAAGTTTCTAGTTGTTGAGGGTTTTCTCTTTTAGGAAGCCTGAGGGACTACCTGGAAAGGGTTTGCTTACATACCGTTTTGTTTTAGTATTGCAAGGCAGAAGAGAAGGAGGAGCTGCTGCAACTTTGGCATGAGATTCACTACCAGAGGGTTATGGAGAAACACCGTACAGATTTTCTGACACCACTGCAGAAATTCCGTTGCAGGAAGAGGTACCGCGGCGTGGGGAACCAAAATGTTTTTCTCTGCTGTAGTTAGCAGATGCAGGGGGTAGAGATGCAGAGGCTGGTTTTGTATCTCAAGATGGGTGCTTCTTGGAGCTAGGGTGGGTTTTTTTTGCATTTTGACCACTTGTGGCAACATGAGAAAATCCCCATGAATGTGAATGACTCTTTTTGGGTCCTTTTTAATTTTGCTTTCTCCTGTGTACAGGAATCCTCCACCTATTTCCCTTTGTCCTGAAGGTCTGAAGAATCGAAACTACCCAGATGAAGTACGCCAGCAACTGCACAGGTTTGCTGCAGAGGTGACAACAAATCCGAACAGGAAACAGCGGGTAGGGTTATGCTACTTCCAATCAAGTCTCTGTCACACAAAAGCAGAACTCTGTGATCAGAGGTCTTTAACTGGTTTCGTTCTAAATCCTTGTTTTCAGAAGCTCCGGTGGGGCTGGGATTTCTGGTATTTTATCTTTCCTTAAAGGTTTCCTTAAAAAATCATTTTGTTCATGCTAAGTAATTTCACTTGCTTTGGACAAAAAGATCAGGGGAAGTAAGTTCCTCACTGGGCTTTTAACAGTTCTAATTTTGTAGTGATTGAGCATAGGCAGCAAAACAACCCTCACTCAGAAGAGCTTTATTACAGTGATAAATAGTTCTGACTTGACTGTGCTATAGCCTGTATAAAATTGCACTTTGCTTACCAGCATATATTTTGTACTGACTTATCACGCTACATTCACAAAATTTCAAAACATGATAGCCTGTGTGATGTGTGCATTATTTGGACAGGGACACATCTGTAATGAAAGTGATGTGAATTAATTCAGTAATCCTTGTTGATTACTGCCTTGCAAAGTGAAGGCTTCAGACTTTAACGTCTGCCTTGCCGGTGCTTAATTTTTCCAACACCCTCCTCATACAGGCAGGATGGACTAGTGAATAGTTCTGCAATGTGAAGATGGTTTATTTCTGAGCCTTTTCACAAAGCAGCAACAACTTCCAAATTTTCATTTTAGAAAAGCAATCTGAGTTGGGTGCATAATGAAGTTGCATAATTAAATCCTAAAAGGTCAGGATACAATGATCACTTATGCATTAATTTCCCTATACATTGTTCACTTACGTGATCTCATTATTTAACAGTTAATTACAGCAGAAATTTTTCTGTGAACATGATACAGATGTTTATACTGCTCTCAGTTTGTGAAAACTATTTAATGTGGTAAATGCATTAATGTTTATCCTATTAGTGTCATGTTAGGGATGGGAAGCTGTCATTCTGTGGGAAGAGCATACTTTGGTGAGGTTTTAAATTTAAATATAGCAATCTAAAATAACAGTATATGGTTTCCTTTAGCAAACAAATTGACTAGGGGAGCAGGGCGGAATGTGTGTTTTCCAGCAATTCTTGAGTTTGTAAATTGGTCTCCTCAATGGGATCCACATAGAGTTATCAGAGACCTAGTGAACAAATATCTCTGGGTTTGAAAGCTCTTTTGCTGGGCTGCTTTTAGAACTGAAGGGAGAAGCCTAATTATTTGAATGTGGTTTATTCTTTTTCCCTTGATCTCTCCCTACACCTGGGTTTGCAGGAGGGATTGGCTCGGGACGTGAACCTGCAGCCAACTCAGGTCTATAACTGGTTTGCAAATTATCGACGGCGTCAAAAATCCTGCCTCCCTCGTAAGGAAAAGCTCAACAACTCGTGTCCTGAGAGGGCTTTGAGTTACCACATAAAGGAGCAGCAGGATAAAGGATCCTACACTCCAGAAACTGCAGGTTTGTCGCTTCCTAATGGGCTTAGGAGGTGGTCCAGAAAGCTGAAAAACAATTTTAAATTCCCTCAGGAAGGGAAGGATATTCCTTCTCCAGAACAGCATCTATATGCTGATACATAAAGTGGACGTTGGAGGACTCTACTTCAGTGGAGTGCCTTAGTGTTTGGCTAGAGGGGTGTTTGGCTCCATAGAAGGAGCAAACATTGATAAGGCCTGTGCAAGGACAGGTGATAAGAGATGCCCATCTCAGGAGGGGCACCAAATGAAAGCAAATACATGGGAGGCAGCAGGTTTTAGCTCTCAGATTCTGGGATGAGGACAGTACTCCAGTAAAACCCAGTATTTCCATGGCCCTTAACAGAATCTTGAACAAATTTTAGTCCTGGGGAATAAGAGAGTCTTGCTGCATCGGGCAAATTAGACTTGTTTCATTGCTTTTTGGAGTGACTATTAGTGTTCCTTCACCTGCCCGGCCTGCACCTTTCAGATGGATCTTGTGCAGGCATCGGCTCTGAGCAAGTGGAGATAACCCTCATGCCCTGTGACCCAGGGTGGGAGCAGTCAGCTGCAGATCTGGATAAGCCTCCTGAAGGAACATATTTAAAGATGCTGGAATCCAGGTGATGTATGAAAAAGTCTTTACAGGGACAGTTCAGAGATGAAGCAACCTTTAAACTTGTTCATGGAACTGACTTTCATGTCAGTTCCCAGGGGACATCATTTAGGAGCCTTGACTCCATAGATGGGAACGGTCCATGCCCAGCATCAGGCAGTCAGAACACCCAGCAGTTAATCTCCCAGCTGTCAAGGGCAGGATTCAAAGGTTTAGCTGGGGTTTCCCCCCGTCTTTGCAAAGCACTATGTCTGACTGATTTATTTTCTCCGTCATTACAGCTTTATGCAGAGCAGTGAGCTGTATGAAGCAAGGACAAGCAAGGCTTTGTTGACCACTTACAACACGGAACAAGCTGTAGCTTTTTGTACTGAGGCCATGCTGGAACCAGGAACCTGCTTTAACTCTGCTGTCCTGCAGCCCAGAGAAGCAGCAAGCGGTACTGATGCCATCCCCCAGCTGGATAACTTTGTCCTGTGCTCTTGCGGTTCCCTTACCTTCCCAGACGAACGGCTGCCCTTGTGGCAGGCCCCTTGCAGCACCAGAGGAGTCTCTGGCTCCATGTGGACCCCAAGTATAGAAGGTCAGTAAAACTGCACCCAGATCATTGACCTTAGGAGTTTTCAAGCTTCTCTTCCCTTTGTTGTAAACACTCTTGCTCAGTTGTGTGGCTTTCTGATGTCATGACAAATGAGAGCAGGGCTTACCTTGAGCTCTGGAGTTCTACTCCCGTAGTATCTCAGCGAGAAAACCTGTTGGTTTAAGGTGTTGAAACAGACATTCTTTCTTACTCCTTTGCTTAAGATGCAACTGCTTCCATAAGATAGTACTTTTCCAGCAAGGTGGATTCCTTTTAGCATTTCCGTTGGAAGAATCCCTTCAGGTGTTGTCTGCTCGCCTTGTCAGTTTGCAAGCTTCTGGGTTTTTAAATGCCTGTCATTCTTAAGAGATTGCCTGAGCAGAGGCCAGGAACTTCTTAACTATGACACGGTGCTCATCTTCAGCAACACGTTCTCACTTTCCTTTCTCTTCCTGTTATTTCTTCTCTCTCCCTCTCTGTTTCCTTCCTGCCCAGTCTTGTTCAGCATTCCCACCATCTCTTTTCTTCTCCCTGTTCTTCAGAATAGCCTTGGTAAGATACTTAAATGATGTGCGTTTGCTTTTGCTTTACGTCTACAGAACAGAAAGTGCTGTGACTGCCATTCACCCAGCCTCTGGTGAATGTGGAGCAAGGAGCGGAGGAGTAGCTGGGTTGGAGGTTGGGGTCATGTTATCTGTAATTGTCTTTAATACAAGCATTTATTTCAGCAGGTATCAGAGCTCCCTTGAGCAGAGTCCCTCAAGGTGGCTGTATTGAGGCCAGTTCAGGAAGAATCATTCAGCAGTCAGATTTAGAGGTTGAAAGCTTCATCCTTAGAGAAGGACAGCTAGGGACCCTGGAATCTATTCTTCCCCACAGGTAAAGGGAGCGGAAAGCACAGGGCAGGAGTAACAACGATGCTGTGGGTCTAGCCTTGTCGTGATGCCCCTGTTGAAAAGGGTTACAGAAAGAATGTGGTGATGCATCCCCTTCCAGGGGCCTGACTCTTTCCTTCTGTCCGTCGTGTTTTGCAGATATTTATATCTGTGCACTGGAAATGGGAAATGCTGTATAAGTGTATATGTCTCTTACAGTGTAGCACAAAGGAGATTCAGGACCAGCCTCATCAGAAAAGATGAACCCCTCTTTAAAGCAGGTTTAGCTTCTAAGTTGTTTGCCTGTTTTTCTTTTTGGCAGAAAATCATAACCTATACTGATGCAGTGAGAGCTGATTCTGTGGGCTGGGTTTGTAGGGCCCGTACTTAGTCCTAAAATAGTTTTTGTAGCTTCATAACCTCATGACAAGATTGTTCCATAGTGCTGCTTTCCAAACTGGAATACAGAAAGATAGGCACTGTTCTGTCTTTCTGTTTTCCACTTGTAACAAATGTTTCAGACCTCAGGTTTTCTCTGGGACTTGAGATAAATTCACAGAATGCAAAACAACAAAAATCTGTGCCATCTTCCATATGTTATACAACTTCCATAATGTTACATAAAAATAAACACTGCCAAACAGACATGTCGAGGTTCCTTAAATTTACTGATCTGCAAGACAGAACAGGAGAAGTAGCCCCACTTCATAACCCTTCTGCTTGACACTGTCCAGCATTTGTGCGAGCGTGACACTGTCGGGACTGTGTCAGAGGTAGGTAGAAGCAGTTTTATTCCCACTTTGTAGATGAGGAAGCAGAGGCACAGAGAGGTTTTGTGGCTTGTCGAGCAACAAGGGGAGGCAATGATTCACTGGAGATAAAGATCGGTGGGTTTTTGCCTCCCAGTTCCCTGCTAAAAGCATTTCTGCCTTTTACCCCTGTTTCCCAGTTGGCTTGGTGCCTACAAGTTGTTCACATGCATGTCAGACTCCTTGCTCTGAATTGCTGAGGGCAGCCCAGGTCTGGGCATTGTAAGCCCACCTCACTCTGTGTGTTGGGATTCACAGTTTTAAACAGTGGCTAACGATCATGAAAGATCAGCGAGGCTTGCTGGTAATATTTTGGCTGGATTTAAAATTGCATGTTCTGACTCTAGAGTGAGCTCATGTTTATTTTTAAAATATGTTCTGCCAGTAGAAGAAATCTATGGTGAATGTCTCCTTGTTGGGTATGTCAGTTGTGCCAGGAATCCACACACCCTTTATCATATTCCTGGCAGAGGTAGGACTTGTTGCTTCGTTGACACCTTCTGGTGAGGATATAGTTATTTGAGCCCTGTTTAGTGGCCTGGTCCAGCTGCCCCCAAAACCTTGAACTCCCTAAAGTGCCATGAATGCTATGGAACAGCGGCCTCTTTAGAAATGAGTGATGCTTAGGCTGCCATTTCATCTTGGCCTTTTTGCAGTGTCTCTCTAGAGAGCCAGGAGACCTCGTGTGGGTAGTCCTGCGTGAGATCACTGCTCAGTGCGTGGCAATGAATGAGGATCACCTTTGTTATCAGGCAGAGCCCTCTAACAGAGTTACTGGATTAGAGAGAAGTATTGTGTTGCCAGAGTCATCTTTAGCAATAATGTTGCAGTGAGCATCACTCCTCTGAGGACTCATGAAGGAGTCAGCAGCTTAAGCTGTAAGGCAAGGGAGTGTTGCTATCCTGGAAAGACAGGGCAGTGAAGTTATCCCTGCTTTACAGATAAGAGGAAAGCACAGAGAAGGAAATTATTTATCCAAGGTCACCCACCTGGAGCAGACTTAGTGTTACGCTCTCATTGCCTTGCCAGCACCTGTGGTTTGCTGCTTCCTAAGTGCAGGGGTAGAGCTACAAGTCAGCCAAAGGACCCTTAATCTGCTTGTCTCTTTTTTAAAGGTGGTCACCTGGAAAGGACTTGGCCTGAAAGCTTATTAGAACAATTCCTGTTGATTTCTTTCATGGGCTTTTTACAGTCAGTCCTACGCACTTGGGCTGTGTCCAAACCTCTGATGATCTACAGGGCTGTGAGGTGGGAGTGTGAGGGAGAACCAGGCTGGAAGCTGACTGTCTCCATCTGCTCCTGCTGCCTGACAGGAGAGTTTGATCCAGCTAGCGAACTGGAAGTCCCTGTGGGACACCAAACAGATGCTCGCCTTTACGGATAGTGCGGTTGTATCCTCTTCACTCCTCGAGCTGGGACAGGTGGAAGGTAGCCCAGCTAATGGTTCATGCAGAATATAACTCTCTCGTGCCTCACATTTCAAACAGAAAAGCACACTGAACTCTCTTGAGTGAGACAGACTGCATTTATGAGCCAGCATATTGATTTAGAAAACATCAATGCTGAGATGGTCATTGCAGCTTATTGCTTCTGCCTGCATTTTGGGGATTCCAGCTCGGAGTGCTAGGAATCCTCCTGCTGTCAGGCTCTCCCCTCTGGATAACCCAGCACCCTGACACTGGCAGGCAGCAAGTCCAAAACGTGCAAAAAGAGGCTACTTTTGGGCACGTTGCCTAATTAAATTGCAGAATTTGTTGCTAAGGGCATTGTGTGTGTCAGTGTAAGTGGGCTATGAAAAAAGGATGAGACAAATTCTTGGCGGGGCAGGGGGTCAAGTCCATTTGTCATTAGTGCATGTAGTTGCCTGAATGTAGCCTCCAGCAGAGGAGTCCTGAGACTGCTGGAACATGGGGGACGTTCCAAGGAAGGGCAACTTGACGCTTGCCCTGTTTTTTTTACTTTTTTCCTACACTCTATTAGTTGGCACCTTTGGTCTGGGTCGTGTGGCCATTCATACCCTGGGCTCTTCCTGGGCGTAGTATGGGCAGTGTTGTTGGAGTACAGATATTTTTGAGTTGGTGATGAAGGGAGAGAACATCCCATCATCAGGTACCCAGTGTCTCCTACTTGACCCAGTGCCCACAGACCGTGACCTCTTTCCAGAGGTTGGCAGAGTCCCCGAGGGAGGTGTGGATGGGGCAGCCATGTCCCCAGACTCCCGACTGGCGGCCTTGAAAAGCTATAGCGGAATCATAGCCAGTGTTGTGGCTATGTCTAAAGCCACATGTTTGTGTGTTTTGACTCTTAAGATCTGTGTTTTTAAAATACGTTCCAGGACAGACACATTTTGGTAGACATCTCCTTGTTTATGGTGAGTGTTCTGCGGGCATAAGGACAGCTGCAAATGGAGATGTCATTCCTGTATACTGCTCCTGGTCAGGCTAGTCCTCCCAGTGCAGAATCTGTATTTTTTAGGCCGTAACAATTTGGAGAAATGGGGCAAGTTTGGAGGCAACTTAGCAGAACTCTATTGAATGAATAGTTTTGCCAGCAGCCCCTCTTGTCCTGCTGCAAAACAGTACAGTAATTGGTGAGTAGAGCATAAATACAAATGCATTTGTGTATCGTATTTTCTGCAGTTCCTGTCAGGCTGTGCTTGGCAAGCCTCAGTGCCCACCTGTTTCTGCACCCTGCGTGGGAGAAAGCCAAGCCCTGGGACAAAGCCAGGTAAGAGAACACACCTGATGTTCAGAGAAAGGAGCTTAGCCCCAGACATACTGTCCAGCTGTAGCTCTCACACAGGAGATGTAAAATCTCACATCGTGTTTAATATGAAACGTGTCTGATCTAAGCATACCTTTTGGAATCCAGTTCAGAGCATTCTCTGGGTAGCATCCCACAGATGCTAGAGGGAGAGGCGGTTTTGTTGTTTTTTCCACTCAGATTGCTTATCAAACCCTGATTTTACTAAATGTGTCATTGAAATGATGTCCAAAGCAACCTGTGCAGATCCAAAGTGTCATTTAAATTTTGAGCAACGGAGGGCTCACCAAGCACTATGGAAAGAAGCTGATGGGAAGATGGCTGCTGGAGGGTCCTCCCCTCTGAGGGGTTCTGCACAATTTGACTCTGCTCTCTCAGACCTCTTAAAATCTTTCATTTCCAAGCCTGTGTTATTGCTGAGGAAAAGGGATTTTGCACTGTTCCAAGATGGCTGATAGCAGTGCATAGAGCAGTGTTATTGTAGGAAACGATAAAAGAAGTTACTTGCATAAGCTGGATGCAGTCTGTGTGCCTTCTTACAGTGATTTTAAGGCAGCAGAGAAT